GCAGCCTCTAATAAAGTACATGGCACATAGTCAGTGCTAAATAAATGTTGAGTTACTGGTGGGACTAAAAAGTCAATGAAAGCCAATCTCATGTTTATTTCATTTAAAAATTCTACAGCCATAGGCAACACTTAGAAAAACAATTATAGATAGTGGAAGATAAAAGAAAAAGAAAACCCTCACAAAATTACACACATCTTTCCTTTGGAAGCTTTATGAAGTACTAAGTAAAGTTTTATATATTTTATATGATTTTAAAATACTTCAAAACAATAATTTGATGCCAGAAATACACTTGGAGATGAGAGTGGCTTGCCACTAGCAAGCTCTGCTTAAGCCTATTACATGTACATATTGAAAGAGAATCCAGAGCCTTCATGTATTTCCCATCAGATAAAATGTATACAGGAAAAAAAAAATTAAGCAGCAAAAGTTAGACCTAACCTACACAAATCTTTTACTGTAGCAAACCAAAGGAATGACTAGCTCATAGCAATACATAGTGAAATAGAAATCATTTTCTCCAGTTCTATCTACTGTAGACAGTATCAATTCCTTCCTTAGAATAAAGAGGAAATTTTGTAAGAATTAAGAGAAGCTGGAACTGGTTAGGGAGATTTAAGTATTTGCTCTTAGGAGCTTTTTGTTATAGTTCTTTTATTTTTAAAAAATCTGGATCAGTTGTTATAATTTGTATTATTTTTTAAAATTAAGGGCGGGCAAATGGTGTCCAAAGTAAGTGGTATATTTTGGACTTGTTCTTTTCATGTATACCAATAGGTCTATCTAGGAATTATGACAAGCTGATACAGTCCTTTAGCAGACCTTCAAGTGTTGGCAAAGAAACTAATGTCCACATAGTTACACATCCCATACAGTGGATCCTTTTACCTCAATGGCCAACATCACTGTGAGTTGTGGGTGAGAGTAATGGACTGAACATTTCACAAAAAAACAACCTCAACCTCTAGCTACCTGCTGTGGCTCTGAGGTGATTACTTTTTTCCTTTTTCAAAAGGAAGCTGCTGCTTCAGCATCTTCTCCTGGAGTCCCTGGCACAGTTTCAGGCCATGTGTCAGGGGAACCTCTAAGCATATCACTATGACAGAAGCCAAGTGCTGGCCCGCAAGAATTGAGGACTGTTTGTTCACAGAAGAGCCTGAGCAGAATGCGAGTGTTACATAGTTCAAAGGTGCCTTGAAGAAAACTGATGCTGTTGTAGGAGGGGACTTCAAGGCTCAAGTTATTTCTCAGTTGCTGTTCCATAGCCCTCTCCCAGCCTGTAGGGAGTTTAGCCAATAGTTTTTGCTTGGGTGTTTTTCTCTGTTTAGCTCTTTGACTTAGCAAGATTTGGGGCAGTTAAAGAGTTTTCATGTATTTTTAAGGAGCGCCACAGTGTATACTACTCTGGCAGGGGTTAGGGGGAAATATTTTATTAATGAATGCAGTATGTGTTCTTGGTAAAAGCCAAAATTAAACTGGCTCACTGTTTTTGTCCTGCTGGCTGTCGACATTTAGGTGTGTTGCTTGGTGTGGTGACTCAATTTCCTGTAGGATAGTTGGCAACTCCATTTTGAGGTCTGTTTGGAGGGATGAAAAGGTCAGTTACTTGATGTCTTAGAACACTTGGGGTTAAAATTCCTAAAAGTGAAGCTTTACAAATGATCCTGAAAAATCGTGGCTAGCTATATTGCCTGTTCGCCTAGGAATTTGGAAAAAAGCAATATTCTCAGCTCTATGCTAATATCAAGAATAGTCCTTTATTTCAGCAACAGTTTCACAGAACAAACTGTTCTTTACTCTGTTGTTAGTAATCATTTTCTCACTAGTATGTACATGTGGTCTAGTGATTTTTCATTTTTCATATTTATACAGAAGATGTTAGAACTTAAAATACATGCTTACACCACTTTATGATCATACTCAAATACTGTCTGTCAAAAATGACTGGTGCATGGCTTGGACATAAAATGGATATTCTGAAATAAATTGTTCCTCCTGTCACTATACTACCTTCTTAAGAGCAAATCCTGTGTCTAAAGTGCATGATGTCTTGAAGCATTAGCCAAAACATTCCCGAATTACTTTTCCACATTAAAAAATAACAACTGAAATATAATGTGTGGAGCCACATCCTGTTAGATTTGAGGCCTGAGTTTGTACTTTTGATTTCTGAAGAGCTTTGGGAACTTGGTGAAGATGGGGGCAGGGGGGCAATTTACTTAGCTACTGGGAAATCACTGGAGGCTCAGGCTTTGAGAAAGTTGGAGGGCACGGGAGAGGAACCACAGAAAGCCAAACCTCGGAGGGGACTCCCAGCTTCATTGTAACCGATGATTGAAAAGGTGGCACTGAACAAATCCCTGAACACAATGGCTACGTATCTTTAATCCACTGGATAGGCTAACTATGGACAGCTCAAATGATCATAAAAAAAGTCAATGTACTCTTAAAATTTCCTACATTCCTATCTTATGGGAATGAGAGAGAGAGGAAAATGTCAAAACCAAACCATGTAGTAGATGTACTACCATGGCAAGTAGGTGATGCTATACTTGCATATGGAAGTTATTCAGTAAAATGAAAATGATTGTGTTAGAGCCACAGGTGAAAGTATTGTTTGTGATCTTTAGAGTGTGGGGTTACAATGGGCTTTCTATATTTGTGTGTAATGCTTCAATTTTTATAACAAGCATGTAATATTTTTTACATTCTTAGAATTGGGGAAGCTATACAGAACAACTATTTTATATTTACCATTTAAAATTATTAATATCTTTAACTTGTTCCTATTGTTAATGGGGAAGAAAAAAGCTTCAATCTGAAATTTTAATTCACCTGGCAAGGTTTAGGCAATTGTTTGTCCATCTAAAGCATATATTTACTTTACTTTAGACTGCAGGATGGAGGAAGTAGAACAAAAGAGGCAAATTTTAACGTAGAGTACTCAAAGTGAACAGTAAATAGTTCAAGAATTGTTGATAACAACAAGCCACGTGGCACATGTAACAAATACTTTAAAAGTCGCTCTAACTTTTACAAATGTCATATAAAAAGCTATGTGAAAAATCCGAGGAGACTAAATTCAGTCGATGAATTTCTTTGTTGTGCCACTGATAATTTATGGAGTCTAAATTTCAAGGGCAGAATTTATTTTCCACCAATACCTGTAGATTTTTAAAGACAAAGACAGAGGATCCCACCACTTCGTGTAAGTTTCTCAGCATCTTCTTTCCACTCGACCATGACAAAGTTTTATAAAATGGACTCTTGGGAGTTTGATTTCTCCCCACTGTGAATGGTTTGCTTATTGCATGCCAATGTAGAGAAGTTCTCCCACAACTGGTCTGCTTAGGGAGAGTGCCTCTGGTCCCCTAGGTCAGCCTTTGTAAACAGAACAGACTTCCCTATGCCTTTGAATGTGGTCTTTCCGTTTTCTCAAAATTGTAGTGTAATCTGCGCATGGTGGGTAGAAACACCATGCCAGATTTTCTTCCTTAGCCCAAGATCATCTAGGTCTTGTGCAATTCACAGGGGAAAGGAGTAGTATGCAGGACATGCGTAAATTCTCCTTACCATGTGGTTCTTTCACATTGCTGTTCCTTTAAGATAACTCTTAGGCAGTTCTGCATATGAAAATGCAGCCTATTGTCAAATTTGTGAACTATAAAGCGTTCCGATCCCGCAACATTGTATATTTTGTTTGCTTGTTTCTGTCTGCCCCAACATTTAGAAGTCTGGTACTTAGACTGGGCTGGTCGTAGAAAAAGGATGTGGTCTTAATAGAAACGCGGGTATTCCCACAAGTCTGCCTCCTTCAAGTAGGTGAATCCTAAACCTTTGGAAACGAACCCCCAGAAACCCTAAACCTTAAACCCTCAGAAACACTGAGGGTCCTAAATAACCTTGTTTGTGAAACTTGGCAGGAAGCAGCTGGTCCTGGAGACGCAGAGGCTCCAGCGGTCAGGGCAACCTGGAGGGCAGTGGCTCAGTGGGCTGCACCGGGTTCCCGCGGGGCAGGTGCGCGGCCGTGCGCGCCTGCGCGCAGGTCCCTCCTAAGCCCCGCAGCTGGCGCGACCCCGGGCGGCGGGCTGCAGGCGCTCCACGCCGGGTTTTCCGCCGCTCTCCTAGCACAGACAGTCCCACAGCAGCCCCACAGACACACACGCTCGCGCCGCGCCTCCTCCTCGGCTGCACTTCAAAGCGAGTGGCGCCCGGCTGCTCCGGGGGGATGGCACTGCGAGGTGGCGGGGCCCCCGGGGCAGAGCCCGAGGGGAAGGACACGGCGGGTGGCATGGACAGGCTTTTGCAATTCGGAATCTTTTCGTAAGGGAGTTGAGGAGGAGCCAGGCAGTGCTGGGGGCCGAGAGGGGCGTGAGGGGGAGTGTTCCCGGAAAGCTGCGGCGTTGGAGCCGCGCTGCGCCTGCCGCCCGAGGAGTTGAGAAAGAAAACAGGAAACGTGGTGGCCGCGCACCCGGCCGCGGCTGATTCATTCGCTTCAAGTGCCGTGCAGAAGGCTCGGCAGGCGGGGCGGGCGTGGGGCCGCGGCTCCTGGCCGGGGACCTAGGAGATCGGGCTGTGGACCAGACGCTCCTCTCCGGGGCGGACACCTAAGCGCGCGCGCCATCCCCTCGCCATCCGCTAGAGTCGGGCTCCTGGACTGGGACTTGGGCCCGTCGCTCAGTTGAAAAGTCGCATAGTGGTTTTTACGCCCGCGTCGCCGTGTGAAAGTTGGCTCGCCGCTCTTCGCACGCCTTCCTTGGAGGCCGACCCGTCACGCCAAGCTGGAGAGACCGTGCCTCCCCGAGGCCAGCCGCCCCGCGAGCAGAGCCTCCGCCCCCGTTGCACTGCCGGGCTGGGCAATATGAAGGAGCAGCCCTCATGTGCCGGCACCGGGCATCCGAGCATGGCGGGGTATGGCAGGATGGCCCCCTTTGAACTCACTAGCGGACCCGTGAAGCGCTTGAGAACTGAGTCCCCCTTTCCCTGTCTCTTCGCAGAGGAGGCCTACCAGAAACTGGCCAGCGAGACCCTGGAGGAGCTGGACTGGTGTCTGGACCAGTTAGAGACCCTACAGACCAGGCACTCCGTCAGTGAGATGGCCTCCAACAAGGTAAGCCCCGGTTCTGCTGTCACCGATGCCCCCAGGCTGCTGATTCCCCTGCCGGCGAGCCCGCTAGTACCCATAGCCCCGGGAAATACAGTGAGAGGTTTTTTAGGCTTACTGCATGTTGGCTATTCTGCTCCTTAGAGGGAGGTTCTTGTTTCCATGCCTTGCCTCTCCTAGTCACGCCAGATAAACATTTTCCAAAAACAATTTGACGTAGTTTAAGTACCTCCCAAGACACAGGGTTCCTAAGTGACATTGTGCCCTTGTAGCAGAAACCCAGTAGGGTCCATTGGCATTGCATGTTTAAAGGTGTTCTTGGGATTCCCGGTTAAAATAAGAATTGGTGGATGTCTGTGAAATCACTTGAATTTCACCACCTAGGGCACTCAAACTCAGAAGAGTTCATCGAACTTGGAACCTTCACCCTAATTCATCTGGTTGTCAGGGTACCCCGCAAGAACTGAGCCTTTATATATTCAGTTGGCCATACACATCCGCAGGAAACATTAACAGAGTTAGAAGGTTCCTTATGATCATTACTTTTGTTTCCATTAATCTTGGAGAGAAAGCCCAGTTTTTCGAGGTCATTTAGTACAAGGAGGCTTCAACTAGGCATCTGTGCCATATGTACTAAGGTGCTGGTCTTGGCAGTTAATGGAGTTTTGAGGGCTGAGAAGTAACCTTCAGCCTGGGACAGCCTTAAAATAGCACGGAAGGCAAGGTATAATGTTTTCAGTTTTGCTGTATTTTTTGGATTTCCTGTTCTTTTTGTCTTTAGTTATGCAAGGAGATAATTGGAATTATATATGTTTTTAATGGCTATTTGCCTGTGCATGTCATGTGCAGATGGCTGAAGGATTCAGCCAGTAAAGACTGGTAATGTGTGACAAATAGTTGCCTCTGCAAGATATTTAAGTATTTTTGGCTACCTCTTTACAAGGTCAAGAAGGTTATATTAACTTACAGTTCATCTGTGTGCACATATCTTTCAATGAGTGATACTTTTTTTTTCTACCTTACTATGGTTTTTATCCCACCTGTTCTCATGCAGTTTTTACAAAAATGCCACAGCATAACAGCCACTTGATTGTCTTATCTATTAACAGTGCTTTTGTAGGTAGCATTGTCAGGTGAAAAGTTGGCTTCAAATAAATAAAAGGGGCTCTGTAGACACGGCCAGCAGATACTAACCTACCCATATGCACACTGACCTACCCATGTCCACACTGACGATCAATTCTGTTTTATGTCATTTGTGCCTCATTTCTAAATTTGGCACAGCTCCTCATCAGAATGACCAATTATTGCTCTCTTACTGGGACTCTTACCCCCTGCTGTGGCATTAGGTACCTTTGTTCTCATTTGGGTAACAAATTCTTAGTTTTATAAAATACAGGGTTTTTTTTCATAATTTGATTCTTAATAGCAGTAGACATATGCTGAATATGTCCAGTGTCCTAACTGCTAAATGGGAGCACTTTGCCATGGGCCAGAGTTCTTAATTCCATTGTGTGGTTGATTCTGTGTAAGAAAAGGAAGAGCAGAATCAAAAGCCACTTAGCAATGTACAAGCATTAGTGTATGTTTTCAAGATGATTTAACAGTAGTTTTTCAGCTAAATGAATTTGAGCAGCTAGTTGCTTTCCCTAAAATCCATATTCTTCATGTTGAGACCTATGTTTGGATTTAACACTGAATGTGAAATTTAATAATGTATTGTAAATGACTTCAGCTGTCAAGGAATTAATCTGTACATTAAGATTTAAAAATGTTTTAGGTCATAATAATTGCCTAAAATGATCCCTTCTTTTAAAAGCACCAGATAAGACAGAGATTTAGAAAAAGTAATCTTTACTATGAAGGCCCCAAATTAGACTTTGAGTTAATTTACAGGTTTGATAGGAGAGGTTGGTCTGTTTGGTTAAAATGAAATCTAGGTAAAGCGAGAAGATAGTTTTTTCAAAATGTAGTCATTCTAGCAATGTTTATGTCTTGTGGCTGAAAAATTACGATATTTTTTCCTAGCCCACGACAGAGCTGAATTGAAAAATCATTGCCGTCACACTAATTTTTAACATTAAACTTAGCTCAGCTTAAGCTGTAGCTTAAACTTTTAATGTCCAAGCCATTCATGTGTTCTTTAACTTACTTATTTCTAAATAAGTGCTAAGCTTACATGACTTTTATAGACAAAAAAGGGTTGGCATAGAAAGAAAAAAAAGCTCTTGCTAAGGGTTGTAAAGTTACTCTTCTTCTTGATAACAAGGGCATGAATAGGCCACATCCACAAAAGCTGTAAACTGAGTTGGAGCAGCTGATCCGAAGGCCCCTGTGAGTGTTGCCACACCTTCAGTCTGAACTGGAAATGTGTACCGCTTGCATCATCTCCACTCAGTTATTTGATATTTCTTGAGTATGAATGAATGAATCTGAAACATTGCTTTTCTGTTGTTAGTTTTATTACCATCCATTCTTTTTACATATACGTGTTCAAACCAACTGGTATTTTCAGTTTATTCTCTTTTAGCCTTTGAAAAATTATGACAGTATTCTCTGTTCTCTCTTGAGGTTTTAAAAATTTACTCTAATAGATCAAAAAGCACAATAAAAACACTAGTAAGAGATCAGGATTTTTAAATGGTGATAGAAAATACTTATTATGAAGATGGATTTAGGTGTTAGGAAGGAGGAAACTGATTCCTCAAACCCATTAAACAAACTGGATTAACATATTATTTCTATTTCTTAGACTTCTCAATAAAAGGCATCTTAACCAATTATCAGTTTTTAAATGATGCTCTAGGAGCAACTAGCTGTACTTCCTGTATTGGTGTTATAATGTTGCTTGCTTGTTGATGGCATTGAAGCAGGAAAATTATTGAATTCTTGGCCAAGGCTAGGGTTGGCTATAACACATGTAGGATGCTTGTACCAAGTGGGGTAAGAGATTCCAGATGGCATTTAATTTGAGTGATTAAATCTACAGCATTTACCCTTATAAGCACATTAATCTGCCTGAGATTTGTACAGATTTCCTTTGGAACCTCATTGCTACAACTGAGCGTAATTTTAGTGAGGTCTCAAAGCTTTGGAGGCAGGCAAACCTGGAAGTTGAATTACGGTTTTGTTTCTTGCTAATGGAGTTACATTAGAGAACGACTTCAGTTTTTTTAGCTTCAGTTTCCTTAGCATAAAATGGGCATCATAATAACTGTCTTGAAAGGTCAGTGTAAGAGTTCAAAAGAATATATAAAAAAGAGCTAGCTAATATAGTATCTGACAATAGTAGGCACTGTATCTGTTGTTATTGCTATTATTTGGGTTTTAGGTCAAACTTCATTGGTTGCTTACATGGCTAAAATGTCTTTTTACCATTCAGTTGTAACTTATACTAGACATTTCAAATTTTATGGAATTTTATAATTCTTAGATAACTGTCTATAGCACACATTTCTGTATCATAAAAATGCTTAAATTATATTTATAGTTTTTGTGGTATAATACAGACATGAACATTCTGAAGTTCTAATTAGAAGTTTAGGTTTTTCTTAAATTCCAGTTACAGAATGCCAGACAGAAGAGCTAAGTACTTTTCCCGTTTTACTCTAAAACTGAAAATGCAGACCTTACTAATTTTTAGAACATGTAAAATATAATAAGGGTTAGTGGTCAATGTGCCTTTGTAGTAAAACACCTTTTAAGTAGAATAGTTTCACCGTGTTTTTGGTTACCTTTTTCTCATAGAAAGTATATCGAGGATGGGAGTCAGTGGAGAGGAAAGAAGGACAGCGAGCGGTCTGGGCCTCAGGGCTTTCAAGGATTATGCTATGGAACCCTGTAACGTTATCCTCTTGTGACCTAATAATGCACCTTTCACCAGGCCTTCCCTGTAAGTTCAGTGAGGTTCAAAGGAGAAAACGAAATCGTTTTGAGTTCTTCCCAAGACGTATCACTATAAAAATGGTATTTTGTTTCTGCTCTCTAATTTTGGGGGCAGTTTGAGGTTTGGCATGGCTGGAAATGACTGTGTTTCAAGCTGAAAGTCTGTCTTGAAGTTAGAATCCAGCCCCTAAGAGACTTCAGATTTTTCTATACTTCATTCCGAATGTACTTAGGCCAGCTTTACAAATGTAGTCATGACTTCTTTATGGAATTTATTTTGTGTATTTGACTTTTGACAGACCTCTCTAGCATGTTTCTGTTGCCTGTAAATTAAGTTGCTTTGCTGGGGTGCTTTGTCTCAGTGCTTTCTCTGGCTGCTCCCCCTACTGCTTTGTAATAGTCAATGCAGAACATATAGTAGCACTTTTTGTTGATGTATATGTTCTTCTGGGCAAGAGGGGTGTTGTAATAAATATAGGATCTTCATAGAAGTGGCTAAATCTTAAGATATTTCCACATTATGCAACCACAACGTAACTCAGAATAGAGATAAATGTTAAACTTTTGCTAAGAAGGAAACTAAGTTAATTGGAAAAGGCATGTTAGTTTTATAGAGAGAAAATAGCCTCAGTTGTTTTCTACATTAACATATTAAACTTTAGATTAAAAAATTGTTGAGTTAATATGCCTAAATACAAACTTTAAATATCAGAAGAAAATATCTTCTATAATTATAGAAAATCAACAGTTAGATGTTTTGAGTTCAATATCTGCTTTTTAATCTACTTAATAGAGGTAGATTGGAGAAAGATTTATGTAGCTTACATGTAGTACCTAAAAGTTAATATGAAAGATTGAGAATCCTATAATCACTGTTAGAAAAAATACTTCCTTTGCTTTTCATTAATGATAGAAGAGGGAAACAATTTTAAAGGAAATTTTTCTTTCGCTGGAAAGTAGAGCCCTTGACTTTACCTTAGCATAAAACTAAGGATTAAAACAAATCTTAATTTGTCTCTATTGTCATCTGTTCAGTTCCTGTGCCAGTATTTAGTAAAAATTTAATTATTCCTAACATGTAATTATCCAAAATTCCTAATTTTTAATTATTCATCAAATTA